CATCTTAAAAGTGGACATGAGCGGTAACCTTGCTCGATGCTTTAAATGTAAATTTGGCCAGAAATATATTTTGCTAAATTTATGATCCCTGATGACTGACTTCCCAACCAGGGAAAATCAATCTTCCTATATAGCCTTAAAAAGCTTTCCAGGTATTTTGCATCATAGGGATGTCTAAGGCACTTGCAACAAGGTAAACCCAGTATGATTTATTCAGTTAGTAACTTTGCGTCCCAACCTTTATAAACCCAATTAAACCAATAGTTTAAAGCAAAAGAAAAAAATTATTTTTTGTGAATAACAGTCAAAGGTTTTGATTGCTGATTTGTTAGAGATAGTTACATTGATGTAGTTTATAACCAGGTTTTACTATGTCTCTGATTTTGCGCTAATAGTTTGTTTACTGTTGTGGTTCGCTAAACTAATAATTGAATTTACCTTGCCATAACATCTGGATTTTAAGGACTGTGAGGGAATTTCAGTCCAGATTTGTGATGGGATTAGGGGTGATTTAAAAAGTTGGATTACTTTCATTTTCAGCCTCTTCTCTGAAATTTACTTCTGCCTCCCAACGATTGTTGTCAATGGTAACTGGTATAAAATGTTCTTCAAGCTGTTAATTTTTTTTGAATTTACTGATTCAGTTGATTCAAATTGGCAAGTGAATCTGAAGGTACTGTTGATTTAATTTGTTTAATAACTATAGTTGCATTAAGTTTAATTTTCAAATCAAAGAACATCTCATCAGCGGCAAAGTTTTTGAAGGGAGTATTTTCTGAACCCCAGAGAGCAATTGGCTAGTTTGTTATTTCCATTAAATATCCAATCTGTATAAAATCTGCTCCTCCTCTATAACTAGTGCATGAAATTTAAGCAAGCAGTGCAGAAATGTTTGTTCTGTGATTGCTCCATACTTGTGGAGAGGTGCTACTCTATTAAGGTAGAACTGAAATTGGTAATGGATCACGAGAGTAATTATGTCTATAAACCTACATTGGGTGTTTGCTACAAGTTTTACTGAAAGGTACATGGCTACAGAAACCAATAATGCTACTAATATGACACCATCTTCCCCCATTTATTTGTTACTTAAATAGCCAGTCACTTGATTGTGTTTTAGATTTTCATAGTAATTTAAGATATTGTTTTGAAGATGGTCAAACTTGCAAATCTGATCATTGAAGATCATTAAAATCCCTTCTTGTTAGTATCCAATTTTAATGTTTTCTGTTCTGTATTTCTGAAAACTGCCTCCATAAAAGACTTGCTTTGACTTTTGTCTTACAAAATTTACACTTTTTCAATTTCATGTTTAAAAATTCCATTGAATCTGGAACCTGAGAATGCGGTTGCTCATAACCGTAATGTTGAAAAGGAAGTACAGATAAAATTATTTGCAATTGGAACTAAATATTATACATGCTTTTTCTGTGGATTAGTGCTAAATCACACAGATCTATGCAGGTTCCATTATTGGTTTTCAGCTTTGTTTTTGTTTAAATGCAGTAAGGTGGCATCTAGGTAGGGAATTCACCATAACAAACCAGAATTATCCATTGAAAATATTTTCATCTTTCAAAAATCCTTGTTTGATCATGTGTTACAAATGATGCCCTGCGTTAGGAATACAGCAGCTGCCTTTGTATCTAATTTGTGAACATTGAGCAATACTAGTTCTGTTTTTCACTTAAATTCTCTTAATCCCCAGCAGACATCCAACTTGGAGAATCAGTTATAATTTTTTAAAAGTGCTTTTTTAAACTAAAGTTCAGAAGTTATATATGTTGTGTGTGTGTTTTATGGGCAGAGCTGAAGACTGTATTTCAGTCTTACAGATAATGGCAATAAATAATTGTATCTTTTTTGACTTTGAATGCTTTCAGGACTTTACACTTGTCCTGTGATCTTGTACACTGTATAGTGTTTATTGTACAAATAGAACTAACTGATCATCTGGGGCATTGCTGATAGTCATCCAGAGGATATGTTGTTATTATAATAGTGGATTTTAGTCCACGTATCATTCAGTATATTATCAGAACCACTCCTACATGGTGACTGTAGATCAAAATTCTTTTTTGTTGCCATGATTTTCTGAAACTTTGGTTGGCAATTTTTATGGATTAGATTTGCAACTGAGTCTCCTGGGAAAGTGGAATTGGCTGCTCTGTTATTCGTAAATGGTGAGCCTGCAAGTGTATTGTTTACTTCTACGGTTTTATCTCCACCATTTTAAGACAAAAGATGCACAATATCATGTTAAGTATGATGTATCTACATCTCACTACTACATATTATTTGAACTGTTCCCCAGTGCTGTCAAATTCTTGTACTAAGCCCTGTACTGTTAAATGGTTTAATATGAGCCATCAGTATTGCAAAACACTAGGTTCCATTAAGTATATCTTCCATTACCAACTTATCTTTCTAACAAGGAAATAAAAATGAAACGCATAGGTACAAGAAAGAAAATATACAAATAAAACAAAACTCATTTATGAATACCTGAATTAGTCACTCGATAGTACAGAACTTGAGCTAATAAGAGACATAATATTAAACTTGAGTGCAAGGCAGAGGACTTCAAAAGAATGTCTCTTTAGCAATGTATCTTTTAGTAAAACAGATGGATGGATCATATGGAAAGATCAAAGTTTCAGACTGTGTATCCGCCAGTGAATGGGAAATAGCTTGGGGCCTTGCACTTTAAAAATGTTTATGAATTAAAGGATGTTGAGGATAGGAACAGAATATGATGGGGGAAGAGGGTGACAATAGAGTATCAGGTTTGGATGGGGATAAAGAATGTGCAAATGAGAGGAAATTAGATCATTTGTTTAGGGGGAAGTTGAAGGAACCTGATCAGGATTGTCCTGCTTTAAGAGAAGATATAGACAGTCACAAGTAGCTTGAGATTTTGGAAATCTGAAATAAGGGCAGAAAATGCAACAGATACTCAGTATTTATGATAAGAGAAATAGAGTTGAATTGCTATTTCATGTGAATACTGGTCAAGGAGTTCTTTAAAAAAAAATTGTAAGATAAGAAACACGAAACTCAATGATTGTCCTAAGTGTTGGAAGAATTCTGGAAGAAACAGAGGTGGAAACCCAAGAGGAAAATTCTTTGTGTACATTGCCCAAGCTTCCATTACTCTGAATTTCGATGCCCACTCTGTACCATTCTGACAGTCCTGTAGGCGGTTGAGATGTTGTCCATCTTCAGTTCATACCGTTGGCCATGAAGCAATACTGAAAGCCCTCTGTTATGGACCAGACCAAGTCCCCTTAAAATATATTGAGAAGATAGTCTAGACCCTAACTACTTATTTTAAGGGCAAGTTCCAGACTTTATTCATACACGATGGTTAAAATACAACAAAAGAAGAAATTGGAATAAATTAACTCCATTGGAAAACTTAACAAAATAATACCTTATTTAACTCCTCAACAATAACAAAAACAGTTCCAATATAATAACATCCCATGAACACATCCTTGACAAAGCCAAATTCAGTGAAATACATTGTCTCACACATAATTCTCCAGTCCAGGAGAAAAAATATCAAGAGAAAACTGAAACTGAGAGTGTAGCAGAGAGAGATTTGTTGCAGCTTCCAAACCCAGCTTCAAAAGCCCCAACAACTGCTACTGAAAAACTAAAACTAAAAATCCTAGTTTCTGTGGGAGTTTGACCCCACTCATTCAGGCAGCTTCTATTGTTCCAACATTTTTTTAAAGAGAAAAAACCCCAAAAACCTCGCACTATTTATTGTCTTGGAACAGGCTTGGCACCTCTGTCTCAACATTTCTTCATTTTAAAAAGAAAAAAACCAGGACAAAATACACCTCTTAAAGCCATAGTTTTGTCACACCTCATGGGTGGTCACCCCACTGCTAAGAATGCAGCTTGCAAGTTTTTAGCTTAATGGCTCATTTTTAGTGGAAGGAAAGAATCTGGTTATGTCAAAATCTTTTCAATGCAGTGATAATGCTGCAGTTGACTAGTGTCTTGTGTTGACATTTATCATCAAATCAAAAAATCTTCAGAGTTTGCTGAATGCATCAAGAAGCCAACGTGTATCAGTTTAAGAAGGAAAAAATCTGAAAAAAGACTTTCTACTACAGGACTGCATTTATTGAAGGTAAGTGATGTGCACTTACAAACTGCAGTAATCGCGAGCAAACCCATAGGAATACGTACAACTAGAGTGGGCAAGCATAGGTTGATACAACAGTCAAGTATTCGACAGCTTGATTTTTCAAAAGCAAAGTTGTGGTCGGAAGGAAGTTAGGAAGAGTAACCAAATAATTAATCAGCTGAAGTGAGGCCAAGGTTCTTCCATCATGTGACAAGAGTTGTCTTTCAGAAAATATGAACCTTTTCAGGGATTCAAACCTTTTGATTTTAAAAAGCAAATTATATTGCCATTTAGAATTATTTCATTTGTGATGCAAATTAGACTTTACATTTAGTCTACTGGACAATTCTCAAAATGGAACCTCTTCAAATAATTTATGCATATCAGTCTAGAATTCCCCTTAATACATGGTTAATTAACTAAACTTATCCAGAACGCACTTCTTGCTATGCATTTTTCACATCACAAGTATTTTTCATTAAAATAATGTATTTGTAAAACTCCCTGGTGACAACATGTAGCAGAGATTTTTCTTTCATTGGTTTTAAGTATTTGAAAACAAAGTTAATGTCTGTTTGCTCATAAACATTTCATTATCAGCACGCTTTAATGAGCATTAAGCTAACCATTCACGATTAGCTGATCTCACGACTTTATTTTCCCTGTATTGCGATTTTCAAATTATGTATTTAGTATAGACAAGTTACAAATTGAAGATCTTTTTGATTTTTAATAAAGACACTTGGGGAAATTGTTCTGGGGCCAAGTCATGATTTGTTTGGATTCTTCTGGCATAAAGTAATTGGTTACAGTAGCGCACGTTTTTTAAAAAAAAAAATTCTTTTCCTACTGTTTTAAGAAATTGAGATGGTTATAATGGAACGATGCAAGGTTTCAGGCCCCCAGCAAGTAGGCTTGACTGAACAAAATACAACCGATGAGGAGAAAACAGCAGCTGCCTCAAGGGTCGATAATCCGAAAAGAAGGTAAGCTTAGTTTTGTATTTATGAAGTGAAGTTCAGTTATTTTCTCTTGGCATGAAAGGGGAGAAGTTGCGTTTAAATCCAGCCATGACTAGGGAAAGGTCAAAAACATTGGAATGCAGGCACTTGCATTGTACTTGCTTTTCAGATGCCCATTCTTGGCCCCCAGTGGTGTTTCTTTCTCCATTCCATACTCTTGCACCATTGAAGATGTCTTAACACGCCGCTTTAAAACTTCATTTTAAAATGTTTGTTTCATTTCATTTTGTGACACAAAGTTGATTGATTGTTAGCCCAGGCTGCAATAGCATCAATGTGTATTTGTCTGAGCACTTCTAACATAGTAAAGCATCACTTGGCACATTTTTCAAACTGTATTTGACACTGTCACTTTACAATACTAAAAACTTAGTCAAAGTGGTAGGTTTCTGAAGATCAAAGAGAAGCGGGGAGGTTTGCTAGTGTCACTTAGAGTTTAAACGAGAGTGGCAGGGGGTTGGAAAACAGAGCAGTAGGTCAGCAAGCGAAATGACCAAGGAGGAGTTAGAGACAAGGCCAGTAAGGCTAAAGGGAAGAACAGATAGGGAGATGTTGCAGACCCTGGCTTGACTGGTGGTCTGAAGTGTATTTGTTTTAATGCAGTATAACAAGGAAGGTGATGAACTTAGAACTTGGATTGTTAAATGTGACTACGATGCTGTAGCTATTACAGAGAATTGCTTCAAAGAGGGTCAAGACTGGCAGCTTAATGTTCTGGGATTTAGATGTTTCAGTCGAGATAAAGGTTTAAAAGAGGTGGGGAAGGGTTGCGCTACTGATCAGGGAGAATATCAAAGCTGTACTGAGGGAGGTCACCTT